GTTGTTTGTCATTTCTCCGATCACAAATGCAGACATGGTTTTATGTTTACGCTGCGCAATGCAACGCAACGCGTAAAAAGACAGTATAAGTCATTATAATCAGTAATTATGTCCCCACTGGATGCAACAAATGCCTCCTTTATAATGGGTTTTATTGGATTTGTCTCGTCGCACCGGGACATGGCACCACAGTATGGTAGGGGCGTAATATTTCCGTCACACGCTTGAGGTATTCGGCCAATCACAACGCACTGGATCGCTGGCCAATCAGAGCACACCTCGCTTTTCAGAACGATGAGCTTTGTAAAAATCGACACGTTTCAGAAAGGTGGGGCATATAGGAGAAACAATAATGTACAGTATGTGGAAAATAATATGTTTTTTTAATCTTAAACCACATAAACACATTTCATTACACCAAATACACAAAATAATGTTATTTTTTAGTAACGTCTTATGACCTCTTTAAAATACAAAGCAGTTATTTTAATTGTAATAACATTTCACAAAATTACTGTTTTTATTGTATTTTTGTATTTGATTTTTGATCAAATAAATGCAGCCTTTGTGAGCATAAGAGAAAGACATGAAACTTTTTTTTTTTACCAACCCCAAACCTCTGAACATTAGTATGCTATACTGATGTTTCTGCTTATATGATGCTGGTTATTTGTGAGTTAAATTCATAGCTAATGCTGTTCTTCCTCTCTGGTTCCATGATTATGTGGATATAGAAATTAATAAACAGTTATGTAAAAGTGTCTGAAGCCTTTTAAAATAGTGCATGAATTGTATGGACTGCTTTATAAATGAGTTTAACAGCTGCTAGTCACTATTTACTTTCATTGTATTAAAAAGAGCAGCAATATCATTCTGATAAACATCTTCTTTTGTGTTCCATAGATAAAGGGACGTAATACAGGTTTAGAACAGCATGAAGGTAAGTAAAAGATGACAGAATTCCTTTCAAAATATCATTGTAATATCATCTTAAAACACAACTCTCCATAGTCAAATATCATTTTTTTTTTCTGCATTAGCAATTTTCAGATCCAACAACATCCTCTTCATTTCTTTGGCAATCCTGCTTCGGTCTTAATCTCAAACACATTCTGTCTCTTTGGAAAGACTGCAAACCATTTTAACCAGCTTCACAAGATGAGCTTGTAATGGAGAATATAAGCTTGAAGCTGAACTGAATTATAACAACAAAGCAAACAGCATCCATTAGCTAGCTATGTGTCTTGAACAACTCCCAGATATTGTCCGATCTGTCTGATAACTGTGATGAGAATGGAATGGATACATCTCACGGGAA